CTCTTGTAATCTCTCTGTTCTTTCATGTTTTCTCTACTACGGTTTCAGCTGGTATCATCCTTGCTATATACATTATGGGCTCAAGTAACAAAATACAATAAATAAAAGGCCCAGCCCAATTGCTAAGTTTAATGGGTTGCCATACCAAAACCAGTTTAATAGCAGACTCATTCCCAAAATGTTGTGGATTATTCTCAAAGTACGCTCTTATTTGTTCCTCTTGCAATATTCTTCTTTTAATAATATGTGCATTAAGGTTATTGAAAATACAATCATGTTTATCTTTAAATAACTTTTACATACATGTTGTCCAGGCGAGCCATGTGTTGCTTCTTCTCCGTCAGTTTGTCAATTACATGGAAGTGACACAATTACCTGCATATTACCCCTAGCAACACGAAAGGATGATTCAAAGCTTTATGCTGAGAATGTTCGACAGTTAATGGCTCATGAGGTGTGCACAGCATTTTCATCAGTTTCTAATAGTTTTAGTTGCAAATACATTTGCGTCGGTTAATGGCTCGTGGGGTGTACATTTTCATCAATCTCTTTATGTATCTTGCTTATGGCAATAGTAATATGTAGTCTTTCATATTCTCCTTTTGTCAGAACAACGTAAATAAAATCTCTTCATGAACTGTTGACTAGTGATCATTCTGAGGCATTGGACTTCCAAAGTGCAGTCATATATTTGAAGCTCAATTTCCAAGTAAATGCACATATAATGAACGCGTGCTTTTATCTAGGATTTGTAAAAAATTATGTGTTAGGTATTTAATGTAATTGGCAAATCTGTGAACAAAGAGGACTAAAGTTGATTTGTTGTAAAAAGTCAAGGAATAGTGTGCAATGAGTGAAGTTATGATATTTTAGGTCTAGGGTTCGAAAATGGGATAGAAGGAAAAATGACGCAGAATTTGGCTAGCTTTTCGCCAAGGTTTGGTTCAAGCGTCAGAAACAGAAACGTCATCGCTCGACTGTCGCTAGCGGTGGCAATGGGCCAGCCGGCTCAGCTTGGCCCATATACCCACGAGCTCGACTCGTTACAAAACACCATTGCTCTACTCGGCTCGGCTCGGTTCACGAGCTCGTGGCTCGTAGGCTGCTCGTAGGTAATTGGCAAATCTGTGAACAAAGAGGACTAAAGTTGATTTGTTGTAAACAGTCAAGAAATAGTGTGCAATTAGTGAAAGTTATGATATTTTAGGTCTAGGGTTCGAGAATGGGATAGAAGGAAAAACGACGCAGAATTTGGCTAGCTTTTCGCTAAGATTTGGTTTAAGCGTTAGAAACAGAAACGTCATCGCTCGACTGTCGCTATGGCAATGGGCCGAGCCGGCTCGGCTTGGCCCATATACCCACGAGCTCGACTCGTTACAAAACACCATTGCTCTACTCAGCTCGGCTCGGCTCACGAGCTCGTGGCTCGTAGGCTGCTAGGAGGCCGAGCTGAGATTCAGCTCGCGGCTCGAGTATTTTTTTTTTTTACTATACCTTTTCTAAACCTTTAAAAAATGTATATACATTTTCTAAACAATTTTTTAAATATACATTTTCTAAAACCTTTTTCTTTTAAAAATAAAAAATAAAAGATAAACACTCCTCCTTTATCCGAGCTTTGGACCGTCTACTTTAATTTCGAATAGGCGAAGTTAAAAATTGTACATAAACAACTTGTTACGTGTACAATTTTTTAAAAAAAATTATAAAGGTATTAAATTTTTTTTATGAATATGATTAAATTAAATATCACTTACTTGACGACATGCAATTTTAGCATATTTATCTCGCAGTCGAAAATGAGTGTCTTCCCAGTCCTTCACACACATTAATGTTTCCAAAGTTTATTTTTTCAGTCGACTCCTAATATCGGAGAGAAGCCTCTTACCTGCACTAAAAGCAGATTCCGAAGCGAGAGTGCTAATATGATGTATTAGTAGATTTTTTGTCATTGTAGAAACCACTGGTCATCGGCATTCATACCTTTGCTAGAATTCAATTACTTATTCTGAACTTTTCTTAATTGTGTTGTTATTAGGCATATTATGATTAAAGTAATTGATTGATTCAGAAGGCAACACATTTTGACTTGCACTCGACGTTTGAGTACATGCGATGGAATGCAAACTACTACTGGTACTAGAGGAACCACATGCAGTTATAGTTGAATCATATCTATATGAGTTAATGCCTTCGAATAAATTTAAAACTTCAATGTCATCATATGCTATACCAGTGGGAGGAGTATGTGTAGAGTCGGAGGGTACCCGATTAATATGTGTACACATTCGTTCAGCATATAATTCATACATTTCACATAAAGTTTATTCCAAATTTCTGTAGGTGATAGGTACATTAAAAATTAAAGCTCTTGAAATTTGATCAATTACAAATTCAGTACCAGATAAGTTATATCGGGGGTCCACAATGCATGCTAACAGAAATAACATAGGCAAGTCTTCCCAATATTTTCTAAACTTTAATTCCATTGAATATATAATTGAATTAAAACACTTGTAAATACTTGAACGTCTTCGAACGATTTTCTAAGGTTGATCATTGAGCAAACACTTAGTTTTTTGATATTCCCTTCATCCTTTTGATATTTCAATCTTCATTGTTCACTATGAATTGTTCTTGACGCTAAGAAAAACATCATATCCAAAATCCAAATAACGAACTGCTGCGTCATTTATATCTGTCAGAGTTTCTGAAGATCAAGGGAAGGTGACTGGAGTTTCAGTCGTTAAAGAATGCGATGTTCTTCGTACATCCACGAGAGATAGACGATTTCTCAAAACTGGGAGTTGATGCAGGAGAGCGCAATTCAGAAGAGTTAGAAACTACAGCTGAGAGTTGGTGCAGGAGCACAGAATTCGGGAGAGCTGTTGAAACTGTAGTCAAGAGATCAGATAGTACGTGCCGTCGTCTAGTCTGGGAAACTGTATGCTATAAATCGTTTATAGTGGATTGTTGACTGGCAAAGTCCCCGAAATTTTTACCCAGTTGGGTTTCTCCGTGATCAATTCTTGTAATCACTTATTGCTTACTTAATTGCGGTATTTCAACATAGGAATAATTGAATTGCATGTTTAACCATCTAGAAAATAATTAATATTGACTTCTTGTTATTTAATTGTTAAGTAATTTTTAATTCCGCATTATCACCTATTCAGCACCCTCTTAGTGTTGTTAGAGTCGAACTACGTACTTTCAATAGGGAAATAGCTTATTGAAACCTATTGCTCAAGTTTCCCAACCTTCCATTATAATCACAGATTACAATAAATATTGAATGGCTGAAACTGTTCAGATTTTCATTGAGTAGTCATGTTGCTCGTCTAGAAACATGCCTCACTTTATATTTCTAGGCACCAGCCGAAGTTGAGATATATACCTGACTTCAAAAAATTGGGGATATGTCATTGGATGGTTTGGTCATTGGGACTCATGGTGCAACTATAAGAAAGGTTGAGGGAGGATTTACTATCAGGCAATATTTTAGTGACCAATAATGCAATTTTTCCTGAAATTATATCATGCAGGAGTCTTACAGACAAGAAAATAAAGAGCGCGACCAACTGCAGAATTTCATTATTCTTCTGAAATATGGCGGTTTCCCACCCCAAAAAAAAAATTATTTGTTTTCCATTATTCTTCTGTAACTTTTTAAAACGTAAACGGGTGGCCATTAATTATAATGTTATGATATTCTTTGCAATTATTTTTCATTCTTCACTTCAAGAGCTCTCTGAGTCATACTGTATTTTGCTCGTACTCGACATAGAAATTATTGAATACCCTTTAAGTCTTCTATGGCATTGTTGGTAGGGAGTATTACATAGATTTAGATGGTATTAAGAAAGAAAAATAAGCTGAAAACTTGTTTACTATACTGCCAGGTCCTACCCAGTTCTCTATACCAAAAATGCACTCAGGGTAAAAACATGCTTGGTTAATCTGAATTATCTATTTGATGTTGCTGCAGGTTTGTCTTGTCAACGATAGCCCGGATTCGCCTTGTGTATATTCATTGTATAAATCTATCATTTGACCCCAGGAAAACAGTAAAATTAAATGCAGAAAATTATGCTGGAAGAAAGCATTCTTCTTGTTGACGAGGCTTCAAAATGTATTTCTGTGGACATCATAACATTGCTGCAGCTTTGGTGAGATTCTTGAAGCTGAGCTATTTTTGACATTATTGACAGTTGGATTAACAGATCTTGGAAGCCGATCTATCGTAGAAAATGGACTTGGCAACTGTTGCTTCTGGTTACAATTTGATGCAATATTTTTAGAAGGGACGAAAATTCGTTATTTTTTATTTCTTGCTACAAAAATGAGAAATTATAGTTAGCATATGACATCATAGCATCATCTCTTGAGTCATCTTTGTGAGCAGTTTGGGACCATGCTCATTTAGAACTGAGTATTCCTAATACAGTTGTTGGGTAGTCATATTTTCATTTGTATTTGCCACTTAGCATTTCCCCCGAGTGAGTGAAGTCAATATTATCTCTCAGATCCCATATCCCCAGTGTTATTTATAATGAACATTTATATCAAATCCTTTCGAAAAGGAACGCGATTGACAATTACAACTGAAAGGAGTTCCTTAGTTAAAAAGATGAAAGTATCAGCAAATGCAAGGGAGGAAAAATAGTACCTTTTTTTACACAACATTTCCCTACCAAACCATATCGTAGTTTTGAAAATTCACAAACTAGCCCAGAAACCGATTCTATGGAACACGAAGACATCCTTAGTCTTTTCTTTCCTTTGGTGAGCCATTTGTAGACCTTAATTGCCACAATGGTGAGCAACCTTTTAATGGGAATGATGCCGATAACTGCCTCCGCCTGGTCGAGATTGAGGACAGACACCACGAACTACTTAGCTTCGTCTTCTCATTATCTTCACATGCTTCAGATTTCGGATCACCTTGCACAGCAGTAACTTTAAGGGATTCGGGTAAGACGCAGTTAAAGATTGAACCTAGGTCAACAACAAACAAAAACATACGGTTAAGTGCCGAATACTAGGTAGAAAATGTCATCAGAGACGGAAAAAAAATTACTTGAGGAATTCTGCAAATAGTTTGAATAAAGTTCTATTCGGAATTTTTTCAGTCTTCCAGGCCAAAACGTGATTATATGAGTGTTTTTTCTTGTCACTTCTGTTTTCTTTCCTCTTTCACCTCTTGTGAAATGTTGTGTAAAGCACTAATCCATTCTTACGGTACTTATGATAAATCAAATGAAAAAATTAGAAACAAAGCAAACACACAAGTTTATAGTTGTCCTCCACCCTCAACCTTAGAACTACGTCCACTCGCTTTTGAAAGTTTTCACTATAATGTAGAAGAAGAATACAAGTTTCCTCACTCCTCTCGCAATATTAGGTAGATCCACGGTCAAAGAGATTAGTTTAGAGCAGAAATGAAACACCTATTGTACAAAATAGGACTGATATTATAGGGTGATATGCATTATAATAATCAGCAGCATAGAATACTACTTGGAATGTAAATAAAGGGTAAAACTTGATGCAAGAATGAGGAAAAATACCTAATTTTGCAAGTCGATTTACCCATTTTGGAATTTTTTTCCCTGTGAGCTCGTGACATATGTCTTTGCAGAAATGATTGCAATTCTTCACAATCAAGTGATATGAATCACCATTGTAGTTTGCGGCTTTACATTCAATCAACTCCCGTACTTGGGTCGCATCCAAATATGTAGTCCCAATGAATATTGACTTCCTAAACTTAAAACCCGGGCATTCTCGAGGTTCAACTTCAAAGACACCACTTGAAGGATAGTCATGAGCTCCAAATGCATACTCCACACCATGAACTGCAAATGAGCAAGCAGGCCTAATCAGCAAAAAGTTATTTCTCTACTATTTATTTATGTCGACTCATAAAATAGACTGGACTAAAGAGCCACAGAGGTTAGCTAAACAATTTGAGTTCCCAAATTAGATAAAATTCATATTCAATTGTAGCAATAAATGTCATGAAGTCGTCTTTTTTTTCTTTTTTTAATGTTTCACTTGCCTGAAACATGAGAAGACGCAAGAATCACGCAAACCCATGATAAAGATCAAATAAGCAATTTTAGGAAAAACTTCACCTTTGAAAGAAGAAAATAATCATCTTTATATTTGCTTTTTGTCAATGTTCTAAAAATATGTCAGCCATGACTGTCAAAAATACACTCCCGCTGCATGTGCTATATCCGCTTATAACTCTCATTGTATATGCTATATCAAGTTGTTCCACGGCCAAGGAGAAAAAGCTTGACATCATTGTCGTGATCTCACAAGAATTCAATACATTGATAACGAAATAAGAAAATCAATGAGACGAAAAACATAACAGAAGCAGTCAAATGTACCTTCAACACCAGAATGAAATATACCTAGGCCAGCCCAGTAGACATAACCATTCGCTGGTGTCAAGTCGTACACATTGAGATAAACCGAAGTATTTCCAGAACCATGATCTGTCGGCTTCACTTTGGAAAATAAACAAAAACGAGGGGCTGATTTTCCTTTCAAATACTGGGGAACTATGGACTTCCACCCCTTCTTTGATCCTAATGTCATGTTGCTTCTACAGGAAACCAGATATCAGTCAAGAACCAACAGCATCTCGTTCATCTGGACAATATATATGAAGACGAGGCTAAGATGTAAACAATAAAGGAACGCCAAGAACAAATTAGACTTAAAAAATCACGTCAACTGAAAAAATTAGTTAATTTTTCATTGTTGCAAATAACTAAAGTTTTTCGCACAAGAAAGTCAATTCAGTGACCATAATACTCAATAATTGGTGATATTGACAAATATAGTATAATATCTATTCGTGCAACAGAAATACAAAATGTGTATGGATCAAACCTTCGATTATTCTTAAGGATATTACTCGGTTGACCTACAGGAGTTTGACCAAGACTAAGGGTAGGTATGTTTGAATTTCGATAAAGAAAGAACATGTTTCCAACAAAAAAAAATGAAAGAATAGAAAATTTAGGGGGAAAAAGAAAAAAAAAATGGAACCAGCTACATATTTTTTCAACTTGTGAAAGTCAACATTGACAGGAGTGGGAGGCCACTAATATAGCCACTCATATGATTATTAATTATACCGATCCTGCATCTTGCACATTGGCTTCTCAATCTGTCTATGACTATCAAAACAGAATTAACAGCGTGTTTGCTAAGCTTAAAATGTTTACGTGTAAGTAATTAAGTTCAAAAATAAATAACTTCTTTTATTGATTAGTCGATGGAAATAAGTTGTTTATTCTACCAGTAAGGCAATACTTACTTTCAGAATAACATTTTTTGCTTGGAGTTCAGATGAAACGTAGAAACAAACATGCTTTAAGAACAAAAGTTGCTTCTAAGTATCTTTTACTAATCATTAAACACGCTTGTCAAGTTTCAATACTTGTCTGAGACACAACAACTCATATTGGAATAGCTCATCCATTCAAGTTTTATCCTAATGCTCTGGGAACACAGCAGTCTTCAACTGATTCAGCTTTCAAGAAAATAATTCTGCGGATGTTCCATCATTACTGCAAAAATACCTAACATATATTCTCCCGAGACATAGGCGGTTACTATCTAATTTTTTACGATATTATCTGGTCAACGATGAATAAGAAATGGCAAATCCAATATCAAAAAGGAATCAATTAAAAAAGAACAAACTTCCTGAATTCTTAATGAATCAGTTTTCTTCTACATACTTGAAACAAGAACTGAAGATGAGATCAAAAAGCCAGTACGTGCACATACAAGGAAGATTTAAAACTAAAGCCAAAAGGGGAAGTTGGGAACAATCTAGGATGCCAAAAGGACTATAAAAGTGCACATTTACAAATAATATTTGCAGTTTAAATACTTCAAGTTCAATGTACAGAATTCAACAATACAATGTCAACCTTGAAAAATAAAAAGAAAGAAAAAATACAGAGCCAACTACAGCTATAATTTTGAATTTTCTGCCATGTCTTAAATAATAATTGGAGAACAAGTTAGACAATTAATATTTTAAGTTGTAAACACATTAGTGCAGGTGTCTTAAAACTGAAACCAGAAGGACCATGCTACAAATATATAATCATTTACATAATACATTACATAATTGACATGTGGCGCGCATCCATCGGTAGTCTATAATTTTTGACTTTTCCACACTTCACATCCACGGTCGGATTTCTTCCACGTGGGCTTATGTAATCCATTATGTACAATAATTATGTATATATAGATTTATCCGAACCAGAAACCCAGTGTCACTATTTTCAACTCAATGACGTGCAAGTTAAAGAGTTTAAGCACAAAAAACAACCATATTGCAGATGAGTAAAGCAAAAAGCATTTGTTTATCAATGAAAAACTTACTATCGAGAACCAAGCAAGGACGAGGAGTTATCAAATATTAGGGTCCGTTTGATTGCAAAGGTGAAAAGAAAATGTTTTACAGGAAATTGAATTGTCTAGAAATTGTTTTAATGGGAATTGTAATTAATTGTGTTTCATTAGTATAATTTTTCACCTGAAAAATATTGAAAGTTTGGTGTCCGTTTTGCTTTGTTTTTTATGAAAATTGTCCATTAAAGTGATTTTTTTTTTTTTATCATTGGGTTAGAATTTATTCCAATTGCAAAAAAAAAAAAAAAAATGAAAACTGGAAACAAATCAAGGAAAGTGGCACGTGAGAGCCACAACCAAGAAAAAAAATTGCCTAGAAAAAAAAGGCGATCAAACACTAAAAAATTGGAGGTTGGAATTCCTTTTCCATTTTCCATGGAAAATAATGGTGAATCAAACATAGCCTTAATGTATTTGTCGAAAAAAAACATTGTCATCTCCATCGANTAGAATTTATTCCAATTGCAAAAAAAAAAAAAAAAAATGAAATCTGGAAATAAATCAAGGAAAGTGGCACGTGAGAGCCACAACCAAGAAAAAAAATTGCCTAGAAAAAAAGGCGATCAAACACTAAAAAATTGGAAGTTGGAATTCCTTTTCCATTTTCCATGGAAAATAATGGTGAATCAAACATAGCCTTAATGTATTTGTCGAAAAAAAATACATTGTCATCTCCATCGAAATGGTGAACTGAGGGATTCGAAATAATGAAGTAATTCCTCCAATTTCGACCAACGCCTATCTACATAATTTCAAAACCCTTTAAAAACATATTATGCGATAAATTAACAGGTACATTTTACTCTAAAAGAAGCATAAATCAGTAGAATTACGAGTTTATAACCCATATACATAAAACATTTTGTCAGTAACAAGAGAAAATAACCATATACCACAACCAAATCAAAACATTTACAGCTAAAGGAACAAATTATAGTAATCAAGAAAATTTTAAATTAACAGATCGGCCCACGACAAAATCGAATAAAATTATAAGTCGTTTATAAAGAAAAAGAAACAAGTTTTCAAGTTAAACCCAGAATTCAAGCTTACGAAAAGAATTATAAAAAAGTTGTAGCAGAGTAACTTACAGTAGATGACATTGGCACCTGCATAAACCATATGGGTTTTCAATGTTTTTTTCCTGAAAATATCTAAGGTAATGGACACTGCAAAGATTTAAAAAAAAATCTGTTTTTGATAAAACAAATTATTGTACAAGGAATTGTCTAGTACTGAAAGATAAATAGAGAAAATGCGATGGATGAGAGACCCCAGGCTTTGGAAGTTGAGAGACTGACACGACACACAAATAAAGCCATTCAATTCATTTCGTGTTTTGCTAATTTATTAAAAAAATAGGATAAAACGTATTCTTGGCGGCTCTCATATGCCCTGCTCTGCTCTGCTCTGCTCTGCTCTGCGCTTTGGTGAAGGAGGTAAATCGCACATTATGCTTCCAAGGGTATAGTGTGGAAGGTTGCTTGGACACTTGCTAATTTATTGTCTCTACATAATCTTTTTATAGGAGTGATGATATTTATCTAGGAATTTTTTTGTGAGTAGTCTAAGTGTCGTTAAATCTTATATTTGAAAGTTATTAACTATCGACAATCTAGATCAGTAACATTATTCTTCTTATATTTAAT